AGAGCCAGTAAGAAATGCTACAAAAGACAGTCTAATAAAATGGTTTTTTACTTAGAAGCTAGATTACACCATCTTCCCCCTCCCCGCCGCCCCCCCCAAACACAGTTTAAACAACCTTTCCCAGGAGCTAGAGAGGAAAGCTATGGAGAAAGATGAAGCCTGGGAAGATGTTAGTGTGTGTACATGCTTTGAAACAGCCATTAGATCTGGATACATAATTTCTTTTTTAATTTCTAAACATCAGAGCCCCATAATTCAGGCATTACTGGAGGGAGATCTCAACTGAGTAAAGTTTTTGAAGTAATCAGACTGAAGCCCTTTTGGTAAGGACTACCGAACTACCCAGCTAATTTTAATTTTCCTTCTTCCTTCTTCTCTTCTCACCACCACATGAAACGCAAGTGGAAAACCCCTCCGGTGTGGCAGTGATTAAACTTGTGAGGACAGACCCGTAAGCTTGAGCAAGGTCACATCTCTTCTGTGATGCAAATAAGCGCCTGTACATCAAAGCTCCATGTTCTTCTAATCCTTTAACAAAATGTTGAATTTAGCTGCAGGACCAGCTGGATTTCTTCAAGTAGCAGGGTTCTCTCCATATTTTTTTAGTCACACTACTAGACTGATTTCTGCTCTCAGTAGCTCCCCCAGCAGAGGCAACTGGTGACGAACTGTAACCCAGTCATCTACTTTTTTTTTTTTTTTTTAATTAACAGAGCCAAGCAGAACAAAACCAACAAGATATTGTAGGATGGATAACATCGAGGTATGAAGGAGAGGACTCTGTTCTAGACATTGGCTCACTTCCTATGCCCTCATCTTATTCTCTTCTTTCTCCTTGTTCCCTAAACTCCCTTTCTTCCTCTGATTTGCTTTACACGGTGAATTCTTCTTTTTTTCTTCCATCCACGTGCAGGGCCAGAGAGTTACAGAAGTCCAAAACAAGGTGGGTGTTCTCTCAGTCTGTTGCCAAATGCCATCTTGAAGGCCTGACAGCAACCACAAGGACCTGGTCAAAGGGAAAGGTGTCTCACTGAAATGCTCTGGGGACCAAAGAGAGGAGTGGGTCTGGAGAAGGTTAGAAAGTCTCTGAGCCACAAGGTGTGCCTCCATTTTAACAAAGGGAGGACAGTTTTTCTGCTGTCACCATGGCATTGCTTTTCCTGATTTTGCTGTTGCAGGCAATACATCTAGAGCAGAGGGGCAAGGTTTTCAAGCACACTGCTGAAGTTACCCTTCTTGGAAATGCTGTCTATCTGCTTACAGCTGTATGGCTTTTGGGGTCTCTTCCAGAGCTCTCTTTCCGAGTGTGGATGTGCGGTGGCAGCTTGGAGATAGTTCCCTGCAGTCGAGTGGGACACGTGTTCAGGAAGCGCCATCCCTATGACTTCCCTGAGGGCAATGCACTGACTTACATCAAGTAGGTGTTGGGTAGTTCCTGGTAGCGGCCAGGTCACCTTGACGTTGGGCATGTCTAAATAAGCCTGAGTTCTTTGTTTTCTTTCTGCCTGATGACAGAGAACAGCTTGTGGCTGAGCATCTGTTCTCAAGAGAACACGAGTTGCTGTTTTCTGTGAACAAAACCTGTTCCCTTCTCTGTTGTTTGTATTAGTGCGTCTTGTTCTTCCTCAGTCTGAAATGGAGGCAGGGAGCAGTACCCCAGAGAGAGACCCTGGCCATTCATGGATGCTGCCCTATGACATGTGCCTGTGTATCAGCAGTCCTTAGTCATCTCTGTTGTCTCTCAGCTGCTTTTGAGTCCAGAGATCCTACTCAGCTGTATGTGCTCTGAGACAAGCCCTAAAGACAACTTCCACTGCAGAACAGATGGGAATAGAAAAAAGATGGGACAAAGTGATTCACAATGAGAGCAGTTAAGCTCTGGCACAGGGCCCCAGAGAGGTGGTGAAATCTCCATCCTTGGAGATTTCAAAACTCGACGAGACAAAACCCTGAACAGCATGACCTAACCTGAAGCTAGTCTGCTTTGGGCAGGAGTTTGGACCAGGTGATACCTAGAGGTGCTTTCCAAGCTGAATTATTCCATGGCATTATTCTAATCTGTGGAAAGGGATGCTGTAAAGCAGGGTGATAGTGCCAGTCAGTCCAGGTGTCTCTGCCAAGGGAGCATGTGTGAAAAATCATGGTGACCTATGGCTGTTAAAATTTTAACTTCTGAACTGAAGCATCCTTGCAAGGCTTTGTAGACTTAACATATTCAATCTATATCCATCTGTGCTGCCCACTGTGTTTCATGTTTGTGACTGTCCCCCGCTCCCTCCTGGCAGGCAGGCCTTGGGTCTGCCCACCCAGTGCCTGCTTGCTGGGAGGACAGGACCTCCAGCAGCACTCAGCAAAGCATCTCCTCATCCCCACACAGGAACACCAAGCGCACAGCAGAGGTGTGGATGGATGAATACAAGCAGTACTACTATGAGGCCCGACCATCTGCCATTGGGAAGTCATTTGGAAGGTAAGCTGCCCCCAAACCTCAGTAGGAGGGCACTGATAAGCCCCTTGCTAGGAAGAAATAGTTTTGGGTCTTCTCTGGGTCTAAGTGTGGGAAACGGAGATGCCCTGAATGGCTGGCTTGCCAGGGAGGTTGCAGCTTGAGTGTCTGGCTAACAAGGTTTGCTCATTCACTTTATTTTTCCCCCAGTAACCCTGCATAAATCATTTGTTAGCAGAAGGCCGAAGGGATCTGTAATGAAATTAAAAGGCCAGACACTTTAAGTGGATAGATAAGCATATTTTCTGACACAGCATGCAGCTGCTCTGGAAATGTGAGCTATGCAGTTACTAGAGCTTGATCCAAAGTTCCTGTGCGGGTGCCGAACCCTGGGGCAAGCACAGCTAGCTGGCACATGGGGCAGGTTGCACTTGGTGCACTTCCCTCTTTCCTGATGAATGAATGGGTGGTTTTCCTGGTTTGTGCAGCAGGAGAGAGCATGACCAATGGTGAGACATCCCATTTAGAAACACAATCTGGTTGTGACTCGTCTCCAGCACTTGCTGAGCCCACTTCTGTGCAGAATTGTGCTCCTTACAGCGCCTTTGCTAAAGTTGTCTCCAGGCTACATGGAATTCACTGTTATGGGATAAGTGTTCTTTGTGACCCAGAAATCAGTGATGGACACGAAAACTTGGGATGAGCTTGCTCTCTGTGCTAAGAAACCTCTATAACTCCCAAATAAACATAAAAAGTCCCAGGAGAGGTGTATATCTTTGTGTTATATCTGCCTATGAACAAGTGACTTTTGTTGTATCAGCTTAAGGACTAGGTAAATGTGGTTGTATCTCAAATGTGTAGCTACATGCACTGGGTAATGATGCATTTCCTGCTTATTTGATGACAAGCAGGTTTGGTCTGACCCACACACACTTTTTTGTTGTACATTGTGCTTTATTATCATGATGCATTATGTATTTCTGTACAAATAGCTTTGCCTACCTAATTTATCTGTCTTTGAGCTGACTGCAGCGGCTGGGCTGGAGCCAAATAGCAAGTAACCCTGCTGCTTGTGAAGGAAACCGGACTATTGCATATTGGACATAGATACATTGCTAATGTGTTTTAGGGCCAAAGCCTGCAGTTCTTGTTCATACAGACTTCCTAGTGGCTTTACTGGAAGCATTGGCTGAATAAGAGCTGGAGAAGATCTGTAGGATTTGATTTCAGGCATTAAATCTAGATTTTAGATGGCAATTGCCTCTGACACCATCACTGTCAACTGGGCCTAAAATGGACCCTCCTTCTCCACAATTTTTGATGTGAATATAGGATCTAATTACATTCTCCTGAGGTATGGGCAGTACAGTGGCCTCTGTGGGCTGAGGATGGCAAGGAGCATGGGTACAGTTGAAAGTCCTTCCCAACAGGCAAATGTAGTGGTACAGCTTGAAGAGGAGAGTCCCTAGTGTCACTGCTCAGTAGAACTGCTTGAGGGAAGTCCTCTTCTTCAGCCAGCTAAGGCCAAGTAAATCAGCACTGGGAGGACTGCTGCAGCAGACTGTTACTAGGATGCTGTGTTAATTTCCCTTTATACTCCTCCCCTTTCCCAAAACTGCCTAAGAACAAATAATTATGTTCTTTAGGTCTGAAACCCAACCTGAGCCTCGAGCTGCTGCTGTGTTCCCTCACCTCTAGCACACACAGATTAAACATTTGTATATACCTGGGCACCAACACTTTCTAGGTCTTTTCAGGAGCTGATGGTTGTGCAAGTTTCATGGTATGCCTCTACAGGGGCACCCAAAGGCAGAAACACTTTCATGGTCCTACAGTATTTTTTCAGCAGTGTTATTATTTAACACTGTAGGACCTGGGCCCTGCCATCATTCTGAGCCAAAGGAAGTGCAAGAATTGCTCTCTGAAGGTGTTCATGTCTTCCTTTTCTATTTCCTGCCACTTGCCTCTCTCCTCCTTTTCACCTCAGGTCACTGCTAGTGCTCTGAAACCCAGAAACAACTAGGTGGGAGAATGAGTAAGGGGAAAAAGTCATATAGTCTCCCTCAAACCTCCTGGCTGATCTTCATTGTTCCCCTCCCTCCGGTTCACTGCCTTATCCTCAACAACCTGCCTGTGTTTCCAGTGTTGCAGACCGAGTGGAGCAGCGACGCAAACTGAACTGTAAATCCTTCCAGTGGTATCTGGAGAATGTCTACCCTGAGCTTAAGTGAGTTGGTTCTCCGCTTGTAGAAATCTCTGAAGGATCTGGGAGGTGGGTCACAATGCAGCAGTGGGCAAGAGAGAGACTTATGCTTGGGAAAGGTTTTCTTCTATTCTTCTTTTTGGTGAGAAACCTCCTGTGATTGCCTAGCTTGTATCACCACAACAACTACAAAAAGTTTGTTGCTTCTGCTTCTGGGAGCCCTCTGCTCTGCTCCATACAGCAGTCCCTCAGAGATGTGCAACAGTGGTGGTTTTGGAAGTGCAGGGTGTAGACAAGTGCCAGAGCACTACATCCCTCCCCATTAAAGCTTGGCCTCTGCCTGTTGGATGCTCTGCCTGGAGGTAGTTGAGCCAGGTAGAGCTGGACAGCCTCAGTGCAGAGGTGCAGGTGGTTCAGGGAAAGCCCTAGTGAATGCCAGAACCAGCTGTGCCTGTGGCTTCCCCTGGCCCGGGGTCAGGATGCAGTAGTGCTGTGGCATTGCTCTGCTGGGAGGTAGCTTGGGTAGAGCTGTGGTGTTAGCACTTGCTAGCTAACACACCCTGGCAACACATCTTTACATCTCTGTCAAGCAAAGTCTGTAGCTAACATGGGTCGAGGCTAAAATGTCTAGCTGTAGTCTGGCCTTGGCAGATCTTTCCTGTATTGCTACCAATGAGACAGTGAATATGTGCTAACACTGGGGGGAAGACTCTTGAAAAGGGAGAGGCAGAAGCAGGATAAATCAGTGTGGATATGGCTTTTAACTGGCAATGGCCTCTTTCAGAAGAGACATCACACTGAACAGCTTGGGGTGCACCTAAAACACCTTATGCCTTCTGAAACAAAAGGGTAGCAGCCCTCTGACCAAGTTCTTCATTGGCTTTTGCCTTGTCCGGGCATTTCCAGTGGATAGCTAGCATGTCAAATAAAGGGGACTTAGTAACAAGGGGCCAGTTATGCCCTTCTGAATGTGTGTGTGCTTTGGACACTTCTGGGTATGAAGTGCCATGCAACTATCATTTTACCTTCAAGGGTTCCTGAAAAAGAGCTGATTCCAGGAATAATTAAACAAGGAGGAAACTGCCTGGAGTCTCGGGCGCAGGATACCACAGGGAATATGTTGGCTGGCATGGGGATCTGTAAAGGAACAGTGAACAATCCACCTGTCACTCAGGTAAGGCAAGCTTCAGTTTGGTGCTTTGCTCCTACTTCTGCCCTTTTTATTACTGGTGAATGAAAAGGCATCACTGGCCTTGGTGGGCTTGTACAGAGGTGAAGGAAGGAAGAATCTGGCCCTGTTAATGATTTTAGCAGTAAGCAGAAAAAGAAGCTGTGCCCATCTCTTAGAACTCTGTTGGCTCAAACAGGCCCAGCGGTCAGGCACAGAGCGGGAAGGTTTTCATCACTCAAAGGCAACAGGTACTGCTTGAATGCTCAGGGGTGTGACTGGTCTGTGCAGTAGGCGTGCGACCAAAGTTTGAGTCATGTAGCTGTTCCCACTCAGACTGTTGTTTGGGTGTGCTCTGCTTCATCGTTCAACCTATGAGAACCGGTCCTGGGGTGTGCTTGGCTAGTACCCTAGCATGTGGGTAAGAGATTTTCCCAGGATCAGAAATGTTCTTTAGTCTGCCAGTTCAGCTATAGCTGCAGATGGCTTGAATTGTGCTGTTTTACAGATGCATTTCAGTATAAAGCCCAAATAGAGTTTAAATAGCCAAGACTCCAGCTGCAGTAATCTGGTGCAGCTCTCCTAACTGCAGTGGAGCTGTGCTGGTTTATACTAGTTGAGGATCTGCATTCAGCCTCTTCTTTTGGTGACCGAAAGCAGCAGGGAAGCAGCTTGAGAAAGTTAAGGGTCACAGTAGGATATTTTATGCCAGAAAATACATACTCACATCTGCTAACTGTTGGAAATCAGTTTGCAGCCAGCGTTCAACATGCCATTTAATCTGACTCATTGTTCCATGTCATTAACGTTTGAAATCTCTGAAACTTACTGCATTTTGTATTTCTTCCTTGAGAAAAGTATAATAATTGTAGTTGATTGGGTCAGGTATCCATCTAGTGAGAGGAGGGAAAAATGAAGTGGCTTGTACTTTATGTGTGCTGGTGATATATGTTAGCCCACAGATTTATTTGCACGTGTTTTGCTTCACTTGACAATCTATAGGTCCCAGATACCTATTACAGAACATGTCTGCTATGTAAAATATGCAGAAGCAGTTGCATATATGTAGATCAGGGGTTGGTGCCCCCCCTGCTTTGTAGGCCTAAATCTGTAAAGCTGCAGAGCAGGGAGTTGCATGGGGTCCAAGGTTGATCAGGCAGCTCAGATGGTCAGGGCAGTCAGCTGCAGGCTTTGAAATAGTCATGATGCACCAAGCCGAGCATAAACTTCTGATCAGGTGAAGGCTGCTGCCATAGTCTTCCCAGGGAGCCTTTAGTAAGAGTTGAACAAAGGATACAAGTTTTTGAAATACCTGACAGAAAAACTCTCTCTCCCTCATCTGATCACCATTATGATCCTAATGGAACCTTTCTTTTTCTTGTGCCAAAGGAGTGGGTATTCAGTGACCCTGTAATTAGACAGCAGGACAAGTGTCTTTCCATTACCTCCTTCTCTACTGGCTCCCAAATCACACTGGAAGCCTGCAATCAAAAAGACGGCAGACAGGTAGGTAGCTGCACACCTGTGTTTAATCCCTCCATTGCCACATACTGGTGTACCTACCTCAGTGCAGCCTGCAGGGGCAAACCTAGTACTATCAAAGTGTATAAAAGTCCCTTCCATCTTCTGCGTCTCCTTCTCTGGTGCGTTTCATAAGCTCAGATGTATGAGATTGCCCGCAACCAAAGCGGGGAGCACAGATGTGGATGTCTGCTCTGCTTGGGCCCTCAGCAGTGTGGTTAGCTCCAGCTCAGTAGCACCCCGACCTCACTCCTTGGATACATTTACGTTCAGCTGGATCGGTGCATGGATGGAGCACAGCATCAGAGAGGGGTAGATAAGCAGCAGAATCTTTGAGATACCCAAAGGAAGAGGGCAGTGTGTGCTATCATTTGTTTACTGATTTCGAAGTGAGAGAACTGTGTTCTTTGTGCTGTCTTTGGACGTGTGAACAGACCTTTGAAACTGAGAGTGTGCAATTCATTTGAGAAATACCAACTAACATAAAGCACCATACGTTCCACCCAAACTGCTCCCTGAGGAAAAACACACAGCAGCAGTGTTCCCAACAAAATGCAGCTCTGTGACTCTTATGCTGTTTCCAGGATATGCATCCCTGGTCTGTCAGGACACACAAGTCATTTTGCCTTACAGCACAAGGTAAGAGATGGCCTCTGCAATGGCCAGGGTGCCCTCACGGAGATGTGATGTGCCTTTTTATCAGAACTGGGCAAAACACAACAGGTGACGATGCAGCACTGGCAGACAGTGGACTGGGCTTGTTTCATCCCTAGTTCCTGTGCTTCTCCCTACACCAAGGCTGAATACATATTCTGTCATCTAAGGCTATGCTGGCTCTGTGTTTTCTGACACGTCTGTTCTTTTGATAGCCCAAAGGTAGGAGATAGCTCAGCTTGCTATCAGTCCTCAGCAGCATGCTCTTTTGTCAGTACTTTTTAATGCTATATGAATCTCTGAATTTAGTTCTTCCTGAAAGAAAGCACTGAAATCCAGTATTGCCCATTTATGGAAAGCCTGTGTAGACTTTCCTCTGGAGGGTTGGTTAGTGCAGAAATGTCTTGAAGAGTTGCCACTGTGAATACACTGGGAAAACTCTGAGTTCGGATTAGCCTTGCAAGGATATCCCAGGTGGGGTGTGCTTGCCTGCTCCTTTTTCTTGTTGGTAATGACTCACCCCCTTGCTGTGTAATTAGGTCACTTAGCTTCCCCTTAGGTGCCTTGCAGCATTTTCCTCCCTGGCAGCAGACAGGACTCTAGCAGCTGCCAAAATCAGCTGTCTTTCCCCACCTCCCCTGTCATGGAAGGACAAGGGTCCTCTGAAGGGGGGTGGAGTACAAGCCCTATTAGCCAGAAGAGAGATTAATCCACACTAACACAAGCGTGCTCATTCTGCTGCTGGAATAGGATTTATTGAGCCTTGATGTGTTGATTATATACAGACTCATTATAAAGACATGCACACGCACTTAAGGATGTGAGCTGTTGTTTTCCATTACCTTATGTGAACAAACTGCACTTAAATCAAGGACTTGACCTAGCAGATGATTTAGCCAACTGACTGTAAGCAAGGATTTTGTTTAAGCATTCCAAATAATTAGAGACTGATTTGAATCACAGCTGCCATTCCAAACCACCTTGCAGCTGAAGGGAGGAGGTGGGGATGAGGTGGGAGAAGTGCATTTAAATTTTTAATGTAATTTGTGTTGAAATGCTCTGAAATGTTGGGGGGTTTTTGGAAGTCCCAAATTCCCATTTCAGATTTCTACTTATAAAGCCAGTTCTACTTGCAGTGCTCAAGTTTGTTGTGTTCTTGGGGAATGTTGTTATGGTCCCTTCCTTCCATAAATGCAACAGTAATTGTTGTTAATACTGACATTGGATTTTAATCAGCTTGAAGTCAGTCATCTTTGCAAACAACCCAGTTTGCTCTCCTCCATTTCTTTTCTAGAGGGGCCACCTGCATCTAATGCAGTGTTTTCTGCTTACTTTGGGAACTGACTCTTTCTCTGCCAGGTCCTAACTAGAGTGGAAAATGGAGCTAACAACCTTTACGGGGGTCATCTGAGAGTGTATTTCTGGGCTGACAAGGCATGTTTCTGGCAACAGAGAGGCAGTCTTGTTCTTCCTGGGTTGGCAGCTTGCAGAACCCCCTGCCTAGGATGTCACCCAAGCCCAGCTCCTGATATTTGGGCTGTTGAGTTTCAAGGAGATGGCCACTGCTGTAGAAACTTTAAAGCGCAAAATGAAA